TCAAAAGTTACAGACCATAGCTGACATACTAACTATATAGGAAGTCACATGTTATGTGAGCATTTCCAGCAAATTGGTCAGTTTTGGGCCCAGGATGTGACCCACACCAGTCAAATAGCACCAAAATACTATTTTACTGCTAGGTGAACACTGACAGCAGGTGGTCTTAGGGGAAACGCGTCCTGATGTTTCCACCGTATCGGGGATCGATCCCCGGACCTCAGTGTGTGAGCTGAGTGTGTTAACGATCTTTTTTGAATAGTTTATATTAGAAAAAGGGCGTCATTATTTTATTTTATTCTATTTTTATGATTAAAAACAATAATAGCAATAATAATTTCATGGGAGGGCCATATCTATTTCCTAGAAGGGCACATGTGGCCCCTCTGGGCATATCCATTTCCTACACGGGCCACTTCCGGCCCCTCAGGCCATATCCATTTCCTACAAGGGCCACTTGCGGCCCCTCAGGACATATCCATTTCCTTCAAGGGCCACTTTCCCATCCACCCAGGACATATTTCCCTTTCCTACAAGGGGGCCACTTCCGGCCCCTCAGGACATATCCATTTCCTACAGGGCCACTTCCGGCCCCTCAGGACATATTTCCCTTTCCTACAAGGCCACTTCGGCCCCTCAGGACATATCCATTTCCTACAAGGGCCACTTTTCCGGCCCCTCAGGAATATCCATTTCTACAAGGGCCCCTTTCGGCCCTCAGGCAATATCCATTTCCTACAAGGGCCACTTCCGGCCCCTCAGGACATATCCATTTCCTTCAAGGGCCACTTGCGGGCCCTCAGGCCATATCCATTTCCTACAAGGGCCACTTGCGGCCCCTCAGGACATATCCATTTCCTGAAAGGGCCACATGCGGCCCTCGGGCCACAGGTTGGGTGACCTTTGGCGTACGTGTTAACCTTCTTCACTCAAGTTCAGACAACGGACTGAAGGCAACAGCAGTGAGGAGGTAAAGATGATGTCAATCTCACTCCTGCTGTCTTCAGTCCTGTCCTTGTACTTGACTGAAGAAATCTAACACGTGGGCGAAACGTTACATCAACTTGTCAGTATTTTACACCGTCTTAACAAGTCTCACATGAAAATGGAATAACAAATTGGCTAGTCCTACTTATGATCTATGAGGAGAAACAGAACTGTATCTCCAGACTGAGGGACTGATTACCTCAAACTTCCTTTGTCAGTATTGGACTGACAAAGTCACTGGCAGGGGAAACATTCCCTCGCTAAAGACAGTAACTTGTTGTACAGGAGTCAAGATCTTTTAAATAATTGCTTTTACCTTAATTAATCAGATATTAAATTCTGCATCAAATCATGTAATATCAAGGGTATAGATGTATTACTGCAATGACTTTATTCTGTATGATAGTTACATTGTGGGAACACCAGCAGTGTTGCTACACTATTCTATATGATAGTTACATTGTGGGAACACCAGCAGTGTTGCTACACTATTCTATATGATAGTTACATTGTGGGAACACCAGCAGTGTTGCTACACTGTTCTATATGATAGTTACATTGTGGGAACACAAGCAGTGTTGCTACACTATTCTATATGATAGTTACATTGTGGGAACACCAGCAGTGTTGCTACACTATTCTATATGATAGTTACATTGTGGGAACACCAGCAATGTTGCTACACTATTCTATATGATAGTTACATTGTGGGAACACCAGCAGTGTTGCTACACTATTCTATATGATAGTTACATTGTGGGAACACCAGCAGTGTTGCTACACTATTCTATATGATAGTTACAATGTGGGAAAAACCAGCAGTGTTGCTACACTATTCTATATGATAGTTACATTGTGGGAACACAAGCAGTGTGTTGCTACACTATTCTATATGATAGTTACATTGTGGGAACACCAGCAGTGTGTTGCTACACTATTCTATATGATAGTTACATTGTGGGAACACCAGCAGTGTTGCTTTCACTATTCTATATGATAGTTACATTGTGGGAACACCAGCAGTGTGTTGCTACACTATTCTATATGATAGTTACATTGTGGGAACACCAGCAGTGTGTTGCTACACTATTCTATATGATGTTACATTGTTGGAACACCAGCAGTGTTGCTACACTATTCTATATGATAGTTACATTGTGGGAACACCAGCAGTGTGTTGCTACACTATTCTATATGATAGTTACATTGTGGGAACACCAGCAGTGTGTTGCTACATATTCTGTATGATAGTTACATTGTGGGAATACCAACAGTGTTGCTACACTATTCTATATGATAGTTACATTGTGGGAACACCAGCAGTGTGTTGCTACAACTATTCTGTATGATAGTTACATTGTGGGAATACCAACAGTGTTTGCTACACTATTCTATATGATAGTTACATTGTGGGAACACCAGCAGTGTGTTGCTACACTATTCTGTATGATAGTTACATTGTGGGAATACCAACAGTGTTGTCACTATTTTAATGATAGTTACATTTTTTGGG